GGCGGGATCCGGCCCAACCCCGGGCGCTGTCTGGTCTATAAGGTGCCCCCCGCCAGCATGAGCTCCGAGGAGGTAATTGTTAGGCTTCGTAAGTATGACCTTTCCCGCGAGCTTCCGGCCAGTTCGTCTGTTTTCAGAAGTTGACAGTTATGTTTGCTGATGTTTCATGAGCAGAGGAGGTCCGTGTCATGGATGTGCCCATGAGAGTGTGTGGTTGCTGCGTCGTATCCTGCGGGGCTGCGACTCGTGTTCGCACACACTTGGCACTGAGGTCCACTCTACTGTGTGTCTCCTAGAAAAGGACTTCGTCACGGGTGGTGCCAGAGGGATGGCCCCTGTGGCGCGGGTGCTAGGGAGGGCGCCAGGCGGTCGGCGTCCAGCCCGCTTGCCCTGCGACCTGTCACTTGCTGGCCTCTGACTCTCTCCAGCCATGTACAAGCTGGGGCCACAGCAAGAGGTTGGAAAACCCACCTTTGAAATGAAGGTTTCTCTGAACCCCGGTGTAGAAAGCACAGAAAAGGGGTCGGGCCAGGTGAAGGGTGGGGGGCCTCACCCCCTGGCCAGCGGTGGCCTTGCCGGGGGGTAGCAGCCACCAGGGAGACACAGACGGTGGCATCCGCCGCCCTGGCTCTCGTGCGGGCACATGCTGCCGGGCAGATGCTCCTGAAATACGCCTGCCGGTCTCGGCACGACTCGGCGTCTCATCTTTCCCAGGTGCAGGGACCGTCCTGCTAGTTCAGTGTCACCTGTGTGCTGAGCCAGCGGCAAACACGACGTCCGTGCTGTTATTTATGACTCGGGTGCGGCTTTGGGGCCGAGCAGGGAACCGCTGAGCGTGCAGTTTGCTCTGTGAGGGATGCTGCTCATTACGGACACAGCTTGCTGCAGACCCACGTGGTCTGGTTGAGCCCTTGTTATAACATTGCCACCCTGCATGCCCGGCGCCAGGGCCGGCCCCTCCCTCAGCCTGTGTGTGTGTGTGTGTGTGTGTGTGTGTGAGTGTGTGTGAATATTTATTGTATGTAGTGTTAGCCTTCTCCTGCCACCACGTTTCCTTCACTTCTTAGTCTGTAAATTTTATTGGGACGTACCCTTTGGGAGTTTGACTATCTTAGGGCACAGGTATGTCAGATGCCGCCATGTGTGACTAGGAATGTCACTTCCAACGGGTTTCTCCACACCAGCTCCGCGACATTTGGGCCAGATTACCCTGCCCATTGGGGGACAGCGGCAGCCTGGCCTGACTCACTGACGCCAGCAGCACCCCCTCCCCCGCGCCCGGCTGTGACTGAATGCCTACAGACATCGCCAAAGCAAAAAGCCGCCAGCTGGGCTCAGTGGAGCCGATAGAAGAAAGAGTCAGTGCCCTTGAAGATAAGTCAATGTCATTTTTAACCCGAACCCTAGAGAGAAATGTGGCTGGGACCTGGGCTAGGCCTTTCGTCTCCAGTAGAGGAGACAGTGCAGTGCGCAGAAAAGCTTGAGGAAATAATGGCGGAACTTCCCAAATTTGGTGGAAGACATAAGCCTACAGATCGAAGAAGTTCCGTGCACCCCAGCGATCAATCAAAGTAACTCACACCCAGACACAGCACATCAGGCTGCTGAGAAGTAAAGACAGGGCCTTGCAGAGCGCGGGGGCGGGGTGTGGGGGGGATGGTGCGCCCCTCACAGATAGCAGCACGTGTGACTGTGGCCGCCTGAGCACGGACCTGGGCCAGGAGGAGGCGGAGCCACAGTTCCAGGCGGAGCAGAAAGGCTCCAGAACTCGGGGCTCTGTTTCCAGCAAAAGTCCTGCGGGAATGAGGTGCAGTAGCCACGCTCTCAGATGAACGAAGCGCGAGACTTGGTTGGTGGTGGACACGCGCTAAAAGAGTTACTACAGGAGTTTTCAGACGGGAGAGAAACCTACCAGACGGACACTCGGCGCACCAGGAGTGAGGAGAGAGCAGCCGAAACGATGGCACAGGTCTCCCCCTCCCCCCCCCCCGAGTTTCTCAGGGTCCCCCCCCCCCCCCCCGAGTTTCTGAATGTGAGGCTGAAGCAGAGGTGACAGCAGTGACAGGCTTTGGCAGGAACATGGAGACACTCGGTGGGACGACTATAAGTGAAGGGGAGGTCAGGGACAGGTGCGGTGTAGGGCGGCCGCACCCCACTTGAGGGAATAAACATCAGTGCTGAGTGTCTGTGAGAAGTTAGGTGTTTGCATTGTAACCGCAGGGCAGTCACTGGAGGCACCACACAGCAAGTGGAACCAACAGACAGAAATGGGAGAATTCAAAAGAAGTGGGGAGAGGGAAGGCAGCAGCGCACACGGAAGGAGCTGCCAGTGAAATGCCGTCCTGAACCCACACATCCCCGCCATTCTATACGATGCAGTATCTACACGCCAAGCCAGCCGGCCAGTTGTCAGGTTGTAGGAAAACATCGAGTCCAAACCACGCCGGCTCCCAGGGCTCACTTCAGATGTGATGGTGTCGGTGGTGAAAGACCGCAGGCCAACCGCAGGCCAACCGCAGCCCAGAGACAGCTGGAGTGGAGACAGAAATAGACCAATGCTTTCAATAGATCAATCAATCAATCATTTAGGAGCAAAGGAAATTCCCAGGAATTAGACATTACGTGGGATAAAGAGCCAATTCACCAAGAAGACATGGGCCCCCGAGAGTGTGTCTAAGGCCGAGCCTCAGAATTCACAAAGCGAAGCGCACGGGGACTGACAGGCGGACGGCGCTCGCAGGGACGCCGAGCCTCCGCCCTCCTCCGAGTGACCCCAGGCACGCAGATGGGAAGTCCCAGGGCCCTGAGAGCGAGCGGAGCCCGCAGCCGCGTGGACCTGTGGGCGTTTGCCAGGTGCTTGGCCCCTGGCAGCGGGGGCACATTCTCTTCAGGGGCCGCGGAGCGTTCACCAAGCCAGACCTGCCCTGGGGCACACAGCCACCTCAGAAACGGGAAGGAATGAAATGATACGAGGTGCATGATGTGATCGCAATGAGACCAGTTAGAAATCAGTAACAGATGAAAGTCACAAACACTTGGAAATTAAAACAACACATTTCTAAATAATCATAGTCCGAGAGGAAACCTCAAGAAAGAGGTAGATGACATTCTGAACTGAACAAAAATGAGAACGCAACACATCGACGCGTGTAGGGTGCAGCTAAAGGGCGCTTCCGTGGGAACGGATAGCATCATGTGCTGGTGCTAGACAGGAAGAGGGCCTCAAGTCAGCAATCCAACCTTCCACCTTTAGGAACCAGGAGAAGAACAGAATCAACCGAAAGCAAGCAGAAGTCAGTAATAAAGAGAAGAGCAGAAACCAATGAAATGGAAAACAGAAAAATAATAGAGAAAATGGAGAAAATCAATGAGAGTAGAAATTGATCATATGAAAAGACCAATAAAATGATAAGCCTCTAGCAAGACTGAATAAAGAAAGCAGAGCGACACCGGTGACTAACATCAGGAATGAAAGGAGGGATGTCCCTGCAGACCACAGTGTTAGGAGGATGTTAGGGGAACACAGACTGAACAGCTCTATGACCACAACTTTGACAACTTTCAGTGGTTCTCAACCTTCCTAGTGCCGCGACCCTATAATACAGTTCCTCATGTTGTGGTGACCCCCAATTTCATGGTTACAAATTGAACATAATTAAAGCACAGTGATTAATCACAAAAACAATATGTAATTATATATGTGTTTTCCGATGGTCTTAGGCGACCCCTGTGAAAGGGTCGTTCGACCCCCAAAGGGGTCGCGACCCACAGGTTGAGAACCGCTGAAGATGAAACTGGCCAGTTCCTCTAAACCAGACTGAACACCCCAACCTGGCGTAGGCAACCCGAGAAGACCTGTAACTCGTATAGAAATTGAATTCATCGTTAAAAAAATGGAAAAACAAATATCCAGGCCTATTCACTGTGAATCCTAACCATTCGGAGAGCTGCCCACACCAATCCCAGGTCCTCTCTCCCAGACAACAGAAGGGATGGGAGCAAGGCCCAAGTCATGTAAGGAGGCTCGCATTCCACCAAGATCAGAAACAACAGGAAAACTGTGGGCCCTGATCCCTCAGGAGCACAGATGCAAAACACGCAACAAGATGTCAGCAAACTGGGTCCGGCAACAGGAAGAACGACACCAGAGCAAGTGGGGCTGCCCCGGAATGCCGGGCTGTTTCTTCCTGGAAACCGTGAGCTGCGACTCACCAGGAACAGCCTGAAGGCAGAGGGCGAGGGGGTCACAGTGATAACAGCCTGAAGGTGGAGAGCGAGGGGGCCACAGTGATAACAGCCTGAAGGCGGAGGGCGAGGGGGCCACAGCGACTCACCAGGAAGAGCCTGAAGGCGGAGAGCGAGGGGGTCACAGTGCTAACAGCCTGAAGGCGGAGGGCGAGGGGGCCACAGCGACTCACCAGGAAGAGCCTGAAGGCGGAGAGCGAGGGGGTCACAGTGCTAACAGCCTGAAGGCGGAGGGCGAGGGGGCCACAGCGACTCACCAGGAAGAGCCTGAAGGCGGAGAGCGAGGGGGTCACAGTGCTAACAGCCTGAAGGCGGAGGGCGAGGGGGCCACAGCGACTCACCAGGAAGAGCCTGAAGGCGGAGAGCGAGGGGGTCACAGTGCTAACAGCCTGAAGGCGGAGGGCGAGGGGGCCACAGCGACTCACCAGGAAGAGCCTGAAGGCGGAGAGCGAGGGGGTCACAGTGCTAACAGCCTGAAGGCGGAGGGCGAGGGGGCCACAGCGACTCACCAGGAAGAGCCTGAAGGCGGAGAGCGAGGGGGTCACAGTGCTAACAGCCTGAAGGCGGAGGGCGAGGGGGCCACAGCGACTCACCAGGAAGAGCCTGAAGGCGGAGAGCGAGGGGGTCACAGTGCTAACAGCCTGAAGGCGGAGGGCGAGGGGGCCACAGCGACTCACCAGGAAGAGCCTGAAGGCGGAGAGCGAGGGGGTCACAGTGCTAACAGCCTGAAGGCGGAGGGCGAGGGGGCCACAGCGACTCACCAGGAAGAGCCTGAAGGCGGAGAGCGAGGGGGTCACAGTGCTAACAGCCTGAAGGCGGAGGGCGAGGGGGCCACAGCGACTCACCAGGAAGAGCCTGAAGGCGGAGAGCGAGGGGGTCACAGTGCTAACAGCCTGAAGGCGGAGGGCGAGGGGGCCACAGCGACTCACCAGGAAGAGCCTGAAGGCGGAGAGCGAGGGGGTCACAGTGCTAACAGCCTGAAGGCGGAGGGCGAGGGGGCCACAGCGACTCACCAGGAAGAGCCTGAAGGCGGAGAGCGAGGGGGTCACAGTGATAACAGCCTGAAGGTGGAGAGCGAGGGGGCCACAGCGACGGGTGCAGAAAAGCCTGGCGGGATTCACACCCATTTATGTGGAGACAGCACACCAGGCGCAGGGGGGAACCCCCCACCTGCCCCGGGCGTCTGCAGAGCCTCTAGTGGGCGACACGTCGGGGCAGGATGGCCAGCTCCCCCAGGTGGGGACGGGTGCAGCAGCCCTGCCCTGGGAGCTCTGGTGCAGCCAGCGAGGAGACAGAAGTAAAGGCGCGCAGGCTGGGCAGGAAGGGCCAGCGCCGCTCTGGTTTGCAGCCATGTGCTCGTCTGGGGGGTGGGGGGGACGCCCCGGGGCCACAGCACCCCCTGAAGTGAATGAGTGAGCTCTGGAGGTCGCAGGATAAGCAAGGGGTCGCCTGAAAACCCCACCACGTGTCTATACTGCAGTGAAAGGAGGGAGGCAGCATTTACAAATGGTTATTTATACGGGCCTCCCTCAGTGAAACCTAACAGGCGCATACGGCTCTGGGCACGGAACACTGAACCCCCTTCGCCGCCGTCCTGTGTCACCGCGGTTACTCTGTGGGGTCAGGGGACCGGTCAGCGGAGAGAAGGGCCATCTCTGGGGGTCAGAGGCCTCAGCATAGGGAAGATGGACGCTCTCTCCGAGCTGATCAGCGGGCAGCGATGAGTCCTAAACATCCAGAGAACTACAGTCGGTCCCAGCAGAGTTCTCATCGGTGCAGAGAAGCAGGTTCTGAAACGCGTGTGGGAGGCGGAGGGGCTAGAAGAGGGAAGCCGGTGCGGGGGGGGGGGGGGGGGGGGGGGTCAGGGGGGCTCCCACCGCAGTGAGGAGAGTCGGGAGGCGATGGCAGGGCGAGTGCTGCTGGGAGGGATGGCGTGCAGGTCGGCGGGACGGACAGCGCGGAGCAGTCGCAGCGGGCGTCTCCTGTGGAACCAGACACGCAGCCGCCTCGGCAGTGCTCGGCTTAGGAGGTGAGGACGTGGTCGCACAGGAGCATGCACTCCAGTGTTCACAGCAGCTCTCTCCGTCCCCCAAGCTGCAACAGCCCCGGTGTCCGCGAGTGGGTGGCTGGTACATCACGCGTGGCATGCCCCTCGGTGTGCAAATGTGCAAAGGAGCGGAGGTGGCGAGACCCTAGCACCTGGGTGTGGTGAGTGAAGGAAGCCGGTCTTAAAGGTTAGGCACCATCAATGCCAGTCACATGATGTTCTTGAAAACCGGCCACGAGGGGGCAGCAGGAGGGAGGTGGGTGGCGGGCTGCTCTGTGCCTGCTGTGCTGGGCCCCGGGCCCTGCGAACGGAACATCAGGTTTACACGGTCAGTTTCATAGCGTGTTCAGGGCTGAGACGGAGACGTGCTGCGAGGACCGCTGGTGTGAGGGCTGCTCTGCGACCACGTGGTCTCCTGAGACGCTGACGTGGTTATAGTCTAGGTCGGTGGTCGGCAAACTCATTAGTCAACAGAGCCAAATATCAACAGTACAACGATTGAAATTTCTTTTGAGAGCCAAATTTTTTAAACTTAAACTATATAGGTAGGTACATTGTTATTAGCTTAATTAGGGTACTCCTAAGGCTTAGGAAGAGCCACACTCAAGGGGCCAAAGAGCCGCATGTGGCTCGCGAACCGCAGTTTGCCGACCACTGTTCTAGGGACCCGCGGCCTCCTGGACGTGTGGGGCGGGTGATAAAGGACGCTGGAGGCCTGGCCATCTCTGCTCTCTGCTCTGCTGCAGGTGAGGCAGGTGGAGTCGGGGACCGTCCAGTTCCAGTTCTCGCTGAGCCCCGACGGACCCCCGGACACCCCAGGGCAGCCCCGGCTGGAGCGGCGGCCCTCGAGGAGGACGCCCACGTGCCCCACAAGTAAGTGTTGGCGGGAAGCTGACTTCAGGCCCACAGCCCTCCCGCTGCTCCGGGAAAGCCCAGGCAGCGCAGGGCGGGTATTGGGAGGTTCTCGGAGGGCTGTGGTCTCAATCGAGGTTGACTGTTACAGCAGGTGCGGCATGGCAGGATGCTGCATTGTGGGGTGCTGCATTGGGGATGTGGCATGGCGGGGTGCTGCATTGTGGGGTGCTATCTTATGGAGGTGGCAGCGTGGCCAGCTGTTATCCCTACGCGTCAGCTGCCAATGAGCTCAGCTACTCGCAGCTCCCGGCTAAAGGCCCGGGGAAGGTCCCGTTGGTGACAGCTCCCGGCCGCCTCCCATGGCTGCCCTGCGAACTGGGGCACGAGAACCAGAGCTGGCCAAAGCCATGGACCACCAGCTCTGTCCTGCGTTGTTAACACAGTTGTGAGTTTGTTGTTGTTTTTAGATACATTTTTATTGATTTCAGAGAGGACGGGAGAGGGAGAGAGAGAAACATCAACGATGAGAGAATCATTGATCGGCTGCCTCCTGCACGCCCCGGACTGGGAATCAAACTGTGACCTCCTGGTTCATAGGTCGATGCTCAAGCTCTGGGCCACACCAGCCGTGTCAGTTTGTTGTTTTTAAAAATGCTTTCTGCTTCCTTGGAGCCTGTGCAAGAGGGAGGCTGTGGCCTGTCTGTGGCTTTAAGGGAGGGAGTGCAGGTTACCCAGAGTGGCGTCCTGTCCCTCCACGGGGGGTGACAGGTCCACGTGCGAGTAGGAGTCTGAGGAGCAGCTGTGGCCTCGGCTTTGTGCTCAGCACCTTCTGTGGTGTCAGTGTCTGGTGCAGGCCTCGGCTCTGCGTCCCGGACACCCAGCCGGCGTCCTGTGGCGAGAGGCGCAGAGGTCAGGAGGGAGCGTGGGGAGGCCACGCGGATGAGTGTGCCGCACCGGCACGGCCAGGGGTGAGCCTGAGGGGGGCGGTGAAGGGTGAAGAAGACAGACAAGAGAACAAAGCTGGGGCTGGGTGGGACGCTGCCCTCTGATCAGAGAGACAGCGCCACGGCCTGCGAGCCGAGTCTATTTTATAGCAGATTCCAGGAGGCAAAGCCAGGGCGTGGTCAGGATGTTTACAACGTTCTCGTGGATTTTGAATCCACTCCAGTGGTTCTCAACCTTCCTAATGCCGCGACCCTTCAATACAGTTCATGTTGTGGTGACCCCCAACCATAAAATTATTTTCGTTGCTACTTCATAACTGTAATTTTGCTACTGTTATGAATCGTCATGTAAATACCTGATATGCAGGATGTATTTTCATTGTTACAAACTGAACATAATTAAAGCATAGTGATCAATCACAAAAACAATATGTAATTATATATGTGTTTCCCGATGGTCTTAGGCGACCCTTGTGAAAGGGTCGTTCGACCCCCGAAGGGGTCGCGACCTACAGGTTGAGAACCGCTGATCTACTCAGTTACATGCACCTGATCAAGCTTTGTTTACTTGCTGCACCTCCCGAAGCCTACATTACTCAGCCACGATGGACCACAGGTTTGGACCATAAGGTCAAGCTCACAGCCACAGCCTTTGGCCGTAATTGTGCTGGAAGGCTTTGCCTTCCAAGCTGGGACTTGCACGTGGCTTTGCCACGAGAGGACCTGCCCTCTCATTAGTCCGAGGCTTGAACCTGTCCAAACGCTATGCCCAGTGGTTCTCAACCTTGGCTGCACATTAGAAGCACCTGGGAATCTTTTTAAAATCCTGATTTCCGGGTCTCATCTGGAAATTCTGTTTCTTTGTTATGGGGTGGGGCCACAACATTAGTCACAAAGAAACAGAATTTCCGGAGGATGAGGCCCAGAAATTAGGATTTTAAAAAGATTCCCAGGTGATTCTAATGTGCAGCCGAGGTTGAGAACCACTGCTGTAGCCGCTCTCCACAGATGAGCATGGAACCTGAGGCTCTCAGCTTCTACAGGTCTCGCAGCTGCAAGAATGTTCCAGACTGCGGTGGTTGGAAAGTTAGAAAGAGGGAATGGGCACGAGGAGAGGGGAGCTCACCAGTCGTTTCCCAAAGGCTGTGCTGCGACAGGGCAGCCAGTCTCTATCGGCCGTGGGTCCTGGAGCTGGGCCCTGTCAGGGTGTGGGTCCTGGTGCTGGTCCCCTCCGGGAGTGGGTCCCGGTGCTGGGTCCCCTCTGAGCGTGGGCTTTTAAGAGCGGAGACTGTGGTTTATGGACACTGGTCTTGTGGCTTTAACTTTCTGGTGGTGGAGGCAGCATCCTTGACATCTAAACACACTCGGCGGCCCAAGCGCAGCACCTTGCGGAGAGGCGTGCGGGCGCTGTGTGTTGCTTCGTGTTCCCGTGTCTGCGTGCTGTGCTTTCAGGTTCTCCTGAGGCTGCTGCTCGCCGCCGAGCGCACGTGGAAAGCCGTGTCTCAGACTGACATGCACAGCTGCCTGTCCTTGAGGAGCGGCGGTGCCCCTGTTGGGGTCCCTCTGGGCGGGAGGGGCACAGTCCTAGCCATGTGTAAAGAGGAAGCCCGCAGCAGCCTCAAAGGCACGCGAGGACAGCTCGGCTGTACAAGTGGGTTTTGTGGTGGAAAATGAACACATCGCTCTGGTTTGGACAGAGTTGCTTCCGAGGACAGTGGAAACCGGTGACCCGCTCACCCGCATCTGGTGGCGCCAAGGGACCATATCCTGGGCTCCTTGGACGGTGGCAGCTGAGGGAGGACGGGCCTTTCCCGCAAGGAACCGCCGGTGTCTGGGCTATGGGGTTGCCATGGCGCTGGACACGGCAGTGCAGCTGATCGCATGTCCTCGTGCGCTAATCCCAGTGTCAGTGTCAGTCCTGGTTCCGTGTGGATGGGTGTCTGCCCCGGTTCCGGGTGCTTGCACCCTGGGGGTTGCTGACGGGGCCACATGGGAGTTTCCTGTCCTGCACGTGGCAGACACGCCGGCTTGGGAAGCGTTTGGCCCCCTCAGGTCCTCCCTGAGACGGTTAGACTGGCACTGAGTGCAGGCTAGTGAGTGCCACGCTGTGACGAGGCCCTTTGTGTGCTCGGCCCGGTGGCCCTGAACTGTGGGGTCACCAGTCTGGCTGGTTTCTGGCCCCGGGTGGGCACCGGGCACTGGTCAGGGGGCTCCTCCCCGGCCCTGGGTGTGGCGCTGGGTGGTGGCACTGGGGGGCTCCCCTGCCTTCTCCAGCTCTGGGGGCCGCCTGCATGCCTGGCCCCTCCCTCCGTCTCCAAGGCAGCAGGTAGCATTCCCAAATCTCTCCCGACTCTGCCCTCCTGACTCCCTCTCATTTCGGGGACTGTGTGATCGCCGTGGGCGCCCCAGGGCACCCAGCGTCTCCCCATCCCGGCCAGCGGTTCGCACCTCAGTTCCCTGGATGTGGACGATTTGGGGGCACCAGTCTGTGAACAGTGTACAGGGCCGCCATGTGGGAAATGTAAAGTCTAATTTCAGGTCGTGGACACAATACATTCTGGATGGATTAACAAGCAAACTTTAGAAGCTCCAGATTTAGAAGGCGAGGAGGAAGAGAGGTCCTGGAAACGAGCTGCCTGCCCACGGGGGCCTCCGCAAGATGGCCTGTTGGGCAGCGTGAGAGTGACCTTGGACGTCACTGTGGACAGCGTGCAGGGCAGGGTGTTGAGAGGCAGCAGGCTCCGAAGGGTGTGGACCTGCTCGCCGGGCGGCGTCCCTGCCCCTCGGGTTCCTCCGCTGCCACGTGGGGTGGGTCATGGACCTAAACACGAGAATCAGAACTTGTGGAGCCGCAGGGAAAGTCGGAGCGTATTGGTATGGCCTTGAGGTCAGGAAGGCAGGCAAAGCGCAAGCCGAAAGGAGAGGCGTGAGGGCTGTGATTGTTAAATGTGAATATTCTGCGTGAGGAGACGCATCCACACAGCGAACAGGCAGCCCTGGGACTGAGGGGCGACACACAGCCACGGACATGAATTGGCAGACTGAGATTAGGAAGCCGGAAGAGGATACAAAGAGCTGCTGCCGATCAATACGAGGGAGACAGACAACCGAAGAGAAAAGTGGGCCAAGGACGCGAGGTCGCAGAGGATTCAGTGAGCAAAGACCCGCCCCAGCTCAGGGCCGCCCAGCATTGTCCTCCTCGTCCTGCCGCTGCTCTCATCCCCTGGCTGGCAGCACCCGTGGGCAGCGGCCACGGTCAGACCCTTCCAACCACAGTCCGTTAACCCCACATCCACAGGCCTGGAGACCAGGCGCCCAGCGGGGCAGCAGCGAGCACAGTGTGTCTCCACGGGGATGCTTCTGACCCCAGCCCTCGGGGTGCACACCTGGACACGGGGCCGCCTAGGGAAGTGGCTTCCACCCGAGACAGCTCCGTGTGGGTGTGGCTTCTGCCCGTTACACTCATCATTCCGAGGAGCCTGAGGGCATTTTCTCAGGGGGAACCCCTGCCCCACCCCATCCATCCCACAGATCCTCCTGGGAGTCTGTGACGGGCCAGGCTGCTGTCCGATTTAGAGAGACAATGAATGAACAAGTCACACAGGTGTAGGTAGCGGGAGGAATCAGGTTTCCTCGGGCGGATGGTGAAGGCGGGACGCTGCGTGTGTGGGGCTGGCGACCAGGGCGCGCGCTCCTCCCTGCGGTACTGCTGCGAGCGTGACGCGGCTCCACACACCCGTCTCGTGAGAAAGGGGAGTCTGACTTGCGGGGCCTTGATGTGCTTGGCCTGTGTCAGGAGCTCTGTGTCCAGCTCCATCCACGGGTGGAGTGTGTCTGTGCTGAGGTCAGCGGGTCAGGCCAGGCCAGGGAGGAGGCAGTGGGGCTGGTGGGCCGATGACCTGCTGCGGCTACTCATCTTTGCCGCTCTGTCGGGAGAGCCCCGGAGACATGGAAGCGACTGCATCCCTGTGTTCCAGGCCACCTTGAGTTACAAGCACAGGCTGTGGGCTGGACTTGAGCACAGTCACAACATGCAGATCCCTGACCGGCAGCGTCCTCTTGTCACGTCTTTAT